ACCGCAAACCTTAAGGTGGAGGTGGAAACCCACACGAAAACAGTCAAGAATTATCCCAGGGGTGAAACTAGGAAGCGCTCGCTGCGTTGTGTGGGATGGAAGGCGACGGGTGACTGCAGGCCAAATGGGCCACGACTTCCAAACCACGATCATTCGTGTTCGACGAGAGTGCTGGCAGGGGTGTCTGGATACTGTGAAGTGGAAGATACAGAGTCAGGCGAGAAGTTCCGAGTTGGACGAAGATTTTGCAACAGTATCAAACCAGAAGCGGTGTTCAGATGCTCAGATGCAACGAATTTCGCCAATTTTCCAGCTTTAGCAAATGAAGCACTGAATAAAGCACTGCAACCAGGTTTTACATTGCCCAATGTGGGTGAAAGTACGTCAGACCCACGAGATGGCATCGTCATGGTGATTTATCCCAAACTGATGGCCAGTGCGTTCGCTGCGATCCGCGTATTGCGTGACTTGGGATGCAAATTGCCAATGGAGATTTGGTTCGTGCCTCGAGAGATGAGGAGCCATCCAGCTGATATGAAGATATTTCACGAGCTAGCAGCGGATGATATGTTGAGTATTTCCTTCCGTGAGGTGACAGACTTCGCTGCTACGGGATTCCGAGTCAAGGTGTTCTCAATTTACCATAGTCACTTTGATCGTGTGCTGTTCCTGGACGCCGACAATGTACCAGTGCGTGACCCAACTTTTCTGTTTGAGCTACAGGAATTTCAGGAAACTGGTGCAGTCTTTTGGCCCGACTTCTGGCATCCAACGAACTCGATTTTCAACATTCACAGTCAGTCTTTGATCTGGGAGCTACTCGATATCCCGTTTGCCAACATGTTCGAGCAAGAGAGTGGTCAATTGCTGGTGGACAGGCGGAGACACGGCTCTAGACTGGAGCTTGTGCGGCATTATGCCTTCCAGCGCTCCGACATCTTTGACCGGATGAAACTCGTGCATGGTGATAAGGATCTGTTTCGTCTTGCCTGGCTCAAGCAACTCACACCGTTCCACATGATCCGACATCCTCCAGCAATGGCAGGAAAAGTTGTCAATGGTAGTTTTTGTGGCATGACGATGGTGCAGCACGACACAGAGGGCAACGTGCTGTTTCTTCATCGTAATTCAAACAAATTGACTGGCGTAACCCGCAACGGCGACAGTGCTAACATGGCCGAAGCTGTTCGGCGTGTCACGGCAAAGCTGGCGAGTAAGAATCCTTTAGGACGCCAAACACCCAAATTTAACGAGGTTCAGGACGAGTTGAAATTAATTGAAGCCACTCTGGAGAAGACCCAAGAAGCAGAAGAGTCTGATGGATTTCCCGACCCAGTCATTTGGACTCATCTGCTCTCCTTCAAGAATACGTCCCGCCGCGCAAAATACGTCATTGAGACGTATAATTCGATTTCTGGGTTCTCAAAAGACCAGAACTGCTACGGGCAACACGAGTTGGGGGGAAATGCAGACTTTTACATGCAGAAGTTTGAAGATTTGAGTTTTTCGGGTCTGGAGACGGATCTGCGTCGATATGCGATGGAAGCTGCAGATCGTCGACAGCAAATACTTAAGAATCCATGATGAAGTCGATTGCACAGAATGCCAAGAAGGTGTGAGTAACGTGTAAATCGATGCAAGGGTCCTATCGACAATAACATATTTTATTCATAGATTGCATTGGAAACTCTTCGTGAAACTCCTACCTCGACATGATGGTGCATTGTAGGGAAACACCTTACCTTACACTTACAGTCATTGCCCCTTGCTTCTTAATCCGGAATGACGATACAACGAACTGTACAAGACGTTCGCCGAGGCTCTCTACCTTTACGGATTCGGCGATGGTTAACTCGTGTGATCGTCCTCAGTATCGTAATGTATGGGTCTGTGCTTTTCTCCCTTTTAACTATGCAGCTGCAGCGCCCACACGACCAGTCCAGTATCATTCGCCACGGAT